TCCGCTTGCCGCTGCAGTTTTCCTAGATCCTGGTTCATTCTTTAACAACCCAGAAGTGTTGTTTTGTGTATGAGAATCCAAAGCACATGTTATTCTTGTTCCTGGGATATTTTTGTTTTTCGCCCTGCCCTTCAAGATAATCGTTTACTTAAATTGGAAAGTTCTTAAAGCAGCAAACAGACTTCAGGTCAACACTGTGGCAGCCGTGCAAGCCAGGCACCTCGCAGGTTCTAACTTGAGCCAGCAGGAACAATTTGAAACACGAAGGATCATGGATCGGAAGGCAGCTGTAGATGTTTGCATCATCGTCGCGGCATTTTTATTCTGTTATCTTCCCGATTGGATTGTCTTTAACTTTTATCAGTTCTTCGGGAAGGAATTTCCCCTCCAAGCCATCCAAATCACGCGGTGTATTCTCTACGCAAGCACGCTGAATTTAATATTCTATTCCATTCGTAAAAGGGAATTACGTGCTTGAGTTAAGAAGATGCTGAGGCGGATGCCTGATCTGTGTGGCATCCCATCTGCTATGAACAACGTGACTAACGATCGAGAATGATTTAACACCCCAAGCGAGCTGGCACTGGACACTCCATGACGGACACCACCCAATATAAGGGTGGAATCGAAGATTTCTCTTGGAGAGGTACGAGGTAGATCCAAAGATATAATATTTGCAGTTCTTGCTGTGACACTACGAAAGACGATAAACATCTCAAAATAATTCCACAGTGGCATCCACTGACATGATTCAAATAAAAAACTTTTCCCTGCAGAAATATATCAATAGATGTGATCTGAACATCATGGAGGTTTTGAGGAATTTTTTTCTTGAAAAAGAGAGCATTTTACTGTTTGAATCAGCGACTTATGCCGAAAAGAGCGGCTAAATTTGCTAGCTGAGCAAGTTGCAAAATCCTTGACTTATTCGACACAATAATGGAACGGAGGAACGGTGGATTGACGGAATGGAAAATCTTAAGATGCGTAATGACGGAATACCTAAAATCGCCGAATGCCTTTAAGTACGAATGAAGAGCCTCAAAAAATGGAATTGCAATAAAATAAGAAATCATTTGTAGTCAACAGGCAAAATAAGAAAGCATAGGTAATCATTGTTGGGCCCAGAGGATAGGAGAACAATAAAGCTTTCGAGCTAGCCCCATGATAGTGCTATTGTTATCTTTGTTATTATTGTTAATATTATTATTTGCTACCATTTAATTATTAGTTGAATGTGAATTAGACAGTATATTCATAAATCGTATTTCTCATGTGAACAGGGTACTCATAAATATGTGGGATGTGGCAGGTTTTCTGTTTTGCATGTCTGACAACTATTCTGCAACACTCAAATCGTTTTGGGCTTCTGATTAGTCATACGATATTTTTCACTAATAAAAAAAAATATGACCAAAAGAGGTTAGTCTGCTCCGAGTAAATTTTAGTACTTTTATAATGAGGCGGGATATTGGCCAATTTCTTTTTTAGCGTTTTTTATGGATCGAGACGAAGAACCTTCCGAGTACTTTCTGTTTTTTTTCCGCTTTGACTGATAGCTTTTGCTTTAAAGTGCATATGACACGAAACTTTTTAGGCGTTTTCTGGTTAATAGCTGTATTTAAAATTAGAAATAATCGACCTTGGCGCTTAGCGAGATCTTCATGACCATTTTCTTGCGCACAAAAAGTACGATTTGGCATCCAAAAGGTGTTCACATTTAGCGCGCAGCCAAAGCAATAATGTTACATAGCCGCGACAAGAATTAAAAGGAGAAGTTAAGAAGAGGGTACTAACGTTTGGCGTGCCCGGAGCGGCAAATGATGTTAGCCACAAAAATAATACACATACACTGGCTATTTCTTCACACTACTTTCCAAAGTATGTTGCTGTATTAATAAACTGGGCACGTTTTGATCGTTGCCATTGAGGAGATTATACTCTTTAAAGCTGTCGTCTTTATGCTCGGGTGTCCTGACTTCCAAGACGGCTTTTACAAACACATACCACATTTCATTTCATTTCGTTTCGTTTCGTATGAAACAGTAAGCCTCGTTGTGGAAAAAAATAATTGCTTCAAGAAGTCAGAAAATTGTCATCCAAAGTCAATTCTCGCACTTGTGATTGTGGTTGGTGAACAAAAGCGTTCAATTTGTTGTGAAGCATAATGGAAAAGTCAACAGTTTCAAGTGAGCTGCTTCGTATATAAACAGCTCAGCCGATAAATTTGAGAAACGCACAGAAGGAGAATTTTTCCACTCGTTGGGATTTCGCATCTGGGAAAATGACCGAACCCTTGAATTTTTCGATTTGCTCTAGGCCTGTGAGTAATGATAAATGTTTGACTTTATTTCCATGTGTGCGTGTGTGTGTGTGTGTGTGTGGTGMGGGGGGGGGGATTTTCCTATTGCCTCGCAATAAATGAACACTTTTCTTCACCAACTATAGTCTTAAGTGTAAGAATTAGCTTTACATGAAAATTTCTAAAGTCTCCAAGCAATTAAATTAAAATAAGTTAAATTCTAGTCACAAAGAATCGATTAAAAAATCATTCTCTTATTCTAATAGACCATCTGTTCAACAAGAATTGGATCACACAGAGAAAAAGCCTATATAAACAAATGCGATATTTCATAGAGCGCTTCAAGGTCAAACATGGTTTTCTCGAAAATCCTGGTTGTTTTTTTATGCTTTTTTCGACGTTATTGGCATGGTCTTCCTGGAAATTTGCTGGTCATAACGACGATTGTCATGCATGGAAGGCAAGTTTCATATAATGCGGTATATTCTTCTTGCCAGCCTCGCAACATCAGATGTCCTTTTTTTACATACATACATACATACATACACTTTATTGATGCTCCCTAAGTGGGCTTTTCAGCTCAATACAATAATATTATAATCACAAAATATATATCAATAATATAATATATCAACTTAATAAAAGTTTAGTCTTGGGAAACTCACTGAACATTGCAAGTGCAGCCTAAGAACGATGGTTGTATAGCAAAACAGTATGTGAAATTCATCTCTTTGTTACGAGGTATTTCTATCTAAACACAGTTACCCATCTCATTGTCGTGTCATATGACCGATACAGTGCCATCGTAAAATCGCCTTTAACCTACAATAGCTCCGTAACTAGATCAAGAGTTGTGGTGATAGTGCTGATATGGAAAATGCCTGTTCTCCTGCTTCGCGCTACACTTTTACAAGATGGTGGTACATCATTCTTTTACATTCCAGAAGTGTTGATTTGCCGTGCATCATGGAAGTAGTCAAGCAACGAGTTCTTCTTGTTCCTGCGATACTTTTGTTTTTTGTTACACCTTTCATGATGATCGTTTATCTAAACTGGAGAGTCTTTAAAACAGCAAACACACTTCAGATCAACACTGTGCCAGCTGTGCGTGACCCGGAAGCCTTGCTGGTTCTACCGGACCTGAACTAGCAGGAACAATTTGAAACACGAAGGATGATTGATCGGAAGGCAGCTGTCGACGTTTGCATTATCATTGCGGCATTCTTACTCTGTTATCTTCCCAGTTGGACTGTTTCTGCCCTTTATCTTATCTTTAAGGAGGAATTTCCATTCAAAGTCATTCAGATCACACGGTTTATATTCTACGCAAACACGCTGACTAATCCAATAGTCTATTCCATTCGCAAAAGAGAATTTCAAGCCGGAGTTAAGAGTATACTGAAGAGGATTGCTGGTCTGTCTGGCATCTAATTTGCTCTGAACAACGTGTTTGAAAATGATTTAACACTCTAAGCGAGCCGGCACAGGACACTCCCAAACGGACACCACCCAAAGTCAGGAGAGGTACGAGGTCCAAACGGACTCAACGTGAATTTTAAAAGACGCCTAACTACAATTGAAGAACTCGTCAAATGACGTGATCACTATAGCCATGATTTTTTATGTTGATATAATTACTTTCAAACAGACAGCGTTCATCAGGAGTACATTTTATCACTTTCACTTGATTTTTCACTCTTTCTCTTGTTTTCATTCAGTAAGGTTAAGTTTTTATCAAGCGAATTATCACCCTCATAGGCTAGTACTTACACAGACAAGTATATTTCGTTTTTCATATCTCAGGGCCATCAAAGACAGCTGCAACTAATTAAAAACTGCCCTAGCCCATGGTAACTCGCTTGTTCTTTTTGTTGTTGTTGTTTTTAATTATTACACATACGTATTAACCATGTCCGATTTGGCATTGTTATATAATGTGAAATAGATTTTGTTGTTGTAGGAACCAACAGATCATGAGAAACAACTAGTAGATAATAAGGAGAAACCAATAGATCATGAGAAAGAACCAATGGATTATGAAAAGGAACCAGTCGATTATACGAAGGATCCAGTAAATCATGGCAACATAAAATCTCTTATTCATGTAATAAAAGAGCAAAATATTGTTAAGGGTGACGTCATCTTTGTGTCCTCCAATAGATCCTAGAAAGGAATCAGTAGATCACGAGAAGGAGCCAATAGATCACGAGAAGCAACGAGTACTCAATACGAGGGAACCAGTAGATTATAAGAAGGAACCAGTTGATCATGGCAACGTGAAATATCTTTGTTAATATTATAAAAAGAGCAAAATATTGTTAAGGCTGACGTCATTTGTGTCTGTCTTCCAATAGATCATAAAAAGGAACGAGTAGATTATAAGAAGGAACCAGTAGATCATAAGAACGAACCAGTAGATCACGAGACGGAACCACTAGATCCTGAGAAGGAACCACTAGATCCTAAGAAGGAACCAGTAGATCATAAAAGAGAACCAGTAGGCCATGAGAAGGAACCAGCAGATCATAAGAAGGAACCGATTTTTTGGAGGGGATGGGGCGGCTGTACACAGGCTAAAGTAATTATTCGTGGCGGTAGCCATGCCAAGGAATCTAAGACGGGATATTGGGGAGGATCCTGGGAACTAGTACCTGATTTCTGAGTCGCCGGTCAACAAGCAGCGGATTTTCTATCAAAGATGGCGGACAATAGTGCAAGTAGTGTAAGTCAAGTAAACCGCGTTGTCCTACCTGGTGATGTTATCGGTAGTGTAGCTGATTTTGAAGGAAGTCTCGAAGGGAAAAATAAAATTAAGCTCGGTCCAGGCTTAAGAGAAGAAAATGGTTTGATCGTGGTCTACAAAGCAGGGATTTTTAGACATCGAAGCCCGTCAACCTACTTGATCGATTGCAATCAAAGGAGGGTTAGTATCATTGGAGAATTTCTGTTCAGACTTACCATTCCATGTTTGTTTTTGTTTTTTTTTTCCTGGTTGCGTTGCACGGGACCATTTCTGGCCCATTGTCGTTGCGCGAAATATAAAACACCGTGCGGCGTGATACTAGAGGAAACTTTTCCTACAACGTGACTTTGGTTTAAAAGGTCGGATCGCAAGATGACAAGTATTTGTAAAATTGATTCGTGTCAAATGGCTGCCGTCGAATTATTTTGCGCGTAACCTTCGCAGGTTTCTGTTTACTCTTCTCACACAAGCGAGAAGAGGTCAACAAAGAAAATGCAAGGGACCTGGGCTCAAACGTTGCGGACGCGCACTGTTATGTTGAAAATTGTATCATGTAACATTATCTTTAGATAGAGAAAATAGGCAAGCATTTTCCCGGCCCTTTTACCTGTGTATTTCCTCTTCATTCATTTGGACTTGGTTAGCTGACATGTTTTAGAGTGCCAGATTGCCTTGTGATAGATTGAGAGTCCAAGCCCCAGGCTGGACCAACACTCAAGGTCTTAAAATAACTGAGGAGAATGTGCTGACTTCGTTATGACGTTTTCGATCATTTTAGTCTACTCAGATGAGGACAATAAAGTATAGGTCTAGGCTCCAGCATCTACTTGTAGAGGTTAGCAGGGAATGTTAAAAGAATCCATGCACCTCTCACAAAGAATAGGCATCACAGTTTCTGACGTTGTAGTTAGGTCTGGTTAGACCAGACCACACCGAAGAGAGCTTTCAAAAAACTCTTCAAGGACATGTTATTTTTCTTCTTAGAGACTGAGGATTGCAATGTTGAATTGCTCCTTCTACCTCAAAAAATTACTAATAATTATAAACTGACTTTATAATTTATATTCTGCATTCTATAGTGTTTCTATTTTCTTTTGTTTAGTGATGCAGTTATATATACAAGTTTTTGAGTGGCTGTCTTTTTCTAGAAATGTTCTTATGTTTAAGCTTTATTTGTAATCTATCACCACTGCTGTACCTCTAATTCCCACCCGCCTCGACTAGCTCCTGCTATTTGCGGGCGTGAACGGTCTTCATGAACATGAAAGTTTGCTTGACCACCGATTAATGTTGATATCTTGTAAAACGTGTAGATTAGATTCATAATAATTAGATTCATAATAATAATTAAGTAAATCTCAATTAATTAATAATAATTAAGTAGATGTCAGTACAACCTCTGAAGTTTAAAGGTCTAATAAAGTTGATTGCTGGTTAGATTGTTTATAGAGGCTTCCATTCAAACCAGCTTTGAAGCTGAACTGAGCTAGCCTGTCTAAGTATGGCAAGTTAGTATTAAATGGATAGAAATAAATTGATTTTTGACCTGTGTTTCAGTATGTTCCAGTGAAAGAAGAGAGAGTTATTGGGATCATAACAAACAGAGGCTCTGATAGTTATAAAGTAGACATTGGGGGTGCATTGCCTGCTTCATTACCAAGCCTAGCATTTGAGGGAGCTACAAAGAAAAATAAACCCAATCTTCAGGTACAGGAAAAAAAAAAAAAAAAAAACCAAAATCCATGTACTTTGTCTATCTGGCTGAACCATTTTACTCCCAGATCTTATTAGCAATTCTTCTTATTATATTACTGGCAGTGCCCATGGACAATATGAAGCGCATGCTCTGTTCTGATTGGCTATTTGAGTGGACAAGATGGGGCCATGTTGCCCACTCTGGATTGCTCACTTTAATCCCTGTTTATTTGCCTCATTTTTTTCCCACTTCTATGGACCTTGGCTGGGTCCATAACAATGCAAAAAAAAAAAAAAAAAAAAAGGACCTGGCCAATATCCAGCTATCTTAACCACCTCATGCTTGGTTCATAACACATATTTAAAGTCTGCTGTACAATTCTTATGATGATAGTTTGGAGAATCTAAACTTTTTCTTCTTACCACATTTTGATGTCATTTGTGATATATTACCGAACATTGTCACACAGCAACATGAAATCTAATTGTTAATCGTTTGTAACTTGCTACACTACCTCATTGTTTTGAGTAAAATAATGTTCAACTGATCAGTTTTATCAATTCCAGATAGGGGATATTGTTTATGCCAGGCTTTGTGTTGCAAATAAAGACATGGAACCTGAACTGGACTGCACAGATGGCAGTGGAAAAAGTACTGGTCTGGGACAGCTGTTGGGTGGATTTATGATCAACTGTTCACTTGGTCTTTCAAGAAAGTAAGTGAGATTTCTGAAAGTATTTGAATCCCATACGGTAATTGGTTCTGTGGCCCCAAGTTATGCTGCCTGTCCCAACTGTCAGGGAAAGGTAACAAACTGCTGGGAGGGTGGGGAGAGTGGGGAATGGGGATGTGGTGAGATGAATAACATTGCTTTCCATGGTTACTCTCTCCACTCAAGGGTGTGAATGGACACTGGGGAACTGTTAGGGAAGGTAATGAAATACCAGAAGGGTGGGGAGGGTGGGGGATAGGGATCTGGTGAGATGAATAACATTGTTTTCCTTGGTTCCTCTCTCCACTCAAGGGTGTGAATGGACACTGGGGAACTGTTAGGGAAGGTAATGAAATACCAGGAGGGTGGGGAGGGTGGGAATGGAGATCAGGTGTGATAAATAACATTGCTTCCCATAGTGCTCCTCTCTCCACCCAAGAATTTCAATGGGTACATGCAAACTCTCAGGGAAACTTGACAAAATGTTAGTGGAGGGTAGGGAAGAGAAGGGAAGGGAAGGGGTAGTTTGTGACGAATCAACATCCCATCGCAAGGAGAGTGGTTTTTACTTGTAGTCTTGTTTTGCTTCAGAAGCCAAGATACTGTAAGCTCTGCCTGGAATGACCTGTATGCTCGGAAGTCAACTTTACCTTGTGCCTTTAGCAAACTTTTGTGTGATTCTCTTGTAGACTGCTGAGCAAAGAATTTGTTCTTCTAAAATGTCTCGGAAAGTACTTTCCATTCGAATGCACTGTGGGAATGAATGGAAGAGTGTGGATCGATTCAGCTTCAATACCTCATACCATTGCTATTGCCAATGCTGTAACAAACTCGGAATATATGAACAACAATCAAATTGAGACAATGGTGAAACAGCTTGCGAGAGGAATACAGTCATAACAATGGTATATTAAGCTTTTACTTTGATTCAAGGTCTTCAATTGTGACTGCAAGAACTAGAAAAAAATGTCAGCAAAGTGAGCATGTATTTAGGTCTCTGGTTTTTTATCATCTCTCAGTTAGTGCATGTGCTATTGATCAGTTTAGCAGGCTGTATTTCACTGTACAACTTGCTAAATTGAAAAGTTTGTTTGAATTCAAGTCCTGCTTGCTTAGCACTTGGGCCATAAATCCAAGCAGAAAAAAGTTGGCCCATGACTTATAGTACAGACCTCTTACTTAGAGCCTCATATTTCAGTGTGTGGCCCACTAAATTCAAAAGTCTGTTTGAATTTATGTCTCCCTCCTAGATTTCAACCCAGAGATATAAGAAATATCTCACTAACCTTGTTTTTTTGCTTTCTCCGTGCTATCAGTTACAGAACTTAATTTTTTTTTTCTGCTCAGATTTATGGCCTGCACACTTTTCATTTGGGTCATAAATCCAAGCGCAAAAAAGTTGGTCCATGACTTACAATATGGACCTCTCACTTAGAGCATCAAAGTGTGTGCAAAATCACCTTAAAAAGTTCCCCATGAAATAAGTTGGGTTCTCTGAGGAAACTAAGGATGGTTAAAAAGTCATATAAGAGATCATGGATGGTCAATTGTATGGTAAGCACACTATATCGCTTACTGCAGCTACAACTATAAGAGATGTTGTATGTCAAAAAATTGGTTCCCAATGTTAATCTTTATTTAATTATTACACACAGATTTTATTTCTTAACATAATAAAAATAAAAAAAAAATTATGGTATATCTACTTTTTTAAAGTCCTGCTTCGAAAGAAAACTGTATGTTCATTCAATATTAAAATATAAATGTTTTTTCAATGCGATAAAAGACCATGTTATAAATTGTTAGGTGAGTTGCTCTACAGGGGATGAAACAAGCTTCTTGACTGATATCTCGCCACTCATAACCTTCTCTCGGATGGTGCCTCTGTGTTTCAAAGTAAAAACCAAAGAGCGCATCCTCCTCTTGTAGGTATTGTTTATAAGTCTACCAAATGTATGGAACACTGTTCTTTCAATAAGCTCTGGTAAATGTTCTGAAGGCTGAAAAATAAGGAAAGGAGATTGAGTCAGTAAACAAGTGAAGAATCAAATTCCCAACCAGGCTGTACATTAAAACTAGCAAGATTTGAAAAGGTTTTTTTTTTTTTCTTTCCAACCCATTAGTTTTTTAACCCTTTACAATCTAAATCATCAGTATGCATATTCTCCATACTATTCTCTATGCATTTCCTAAGGGGCTGACAAGGAGAATTTGTTGTGCTATCGAGAGCCAAGTGGCCCATCCAAAGTAAACAATGATGAAAAAAAATTAGATGAAATGCCTCCCTCATTTTCTGTTATTGGGTTGGTTTGTTTCTTTGTGACTGAAAATAGATGTCCCATCATAGCTGTAAATTAAAAATACAAATAATTTTAATCATACGGTCATTTGAAGAGCATCAGCAATCAACTGCCTCCCCTTTCCTCTTAACACTTCAGTCTTCTTGTCACAATGAACCTCTATTAAGGGTTTCTCCTTTTCCAAGTCTCTGACAAATCGTCTCCATCTCCTGAACACAACCTTGGCTTGTTGCCGTATCTCCTCGGTACTTCCCTGACGTCGCAAACGATTCACCGTATGTCCAATTTTGGTGGACATTAACACTTCTTTTGACAAATTTTTTGCGCCCAAGCCTTTCAGTGCTGACAAAATTGTTTCCGATGTGGAAACTTCATTCTCCAATTCGAGCTTTAGACGCTGTATTTCTTCCACTACAACCACACTCTTAAGAAATGAACAAAAAGGTTCATGTTGATGTTAGTCTGATCAGGGGGCCGTTACTCGAAAGTGCTGGTAACTTATCGGGTCCGTAAAGCTGTTCTGTTTTCATTCAAGATAAGGGTTTGTGAAAGAGAAAGCTTTATTTGCGTTAAAATGTATCACAATAGTGTACATTTATGTCTTCAACTTTTACCAAATTATTTTATGACTTATTTAGACTCTATTCTTATGCACTGCACTATCGATGAACTTTCATAAACGGTATTACAGAAATTGTAAAAGGAGTATACAGATATCAAACTTAAATTAACATAACACACCAGAAAATTTGATGCTTTACCGCTAGGCTTTCAATCGTTGATTGCTTCTTCCTGTTCGCCGTCTCCGTAATTTTCCGCTCAGGTTTGGGGGAGCGTTTAGTTCGAATGACAAACTTATCCATAACGAGTATCTAGCGATCTTGCTTCTCCTTGAATCTTTTCATTTTAAGTATGATCCAGACTTAAAAAAGTTCTACACGTCGGCCATATTGATTTCTCTGGCTGGCCGGGTTACTAAGGCCTGAAAATAAACTGGCGGGAAAACCCTCATCCAAGGAATCATCCCAGGGACGGGACCCATCCCAGGCATTTGGCTTTTAGGTAATTCGTAAACATGTGTTGTTTATTTCGTAGAAACACTTGTTTGAGTCGTAAACTTGACTAACCAGTAAAGGAGAGGTTTTCTGCAAACAGAAAACACGCTTAAAACAAACGAAATTACTACATAAACAACTGAAACAAAAACTCACCGACTGTTCGAGCTAAAGGTTTACAAACAACGACAACACACGGCAACAAAACATTTTCTGAAATGAACGCGACGATTTTCCTTTTCAAAGCAAATGGGCGATTGCCCGGATGTTTACGTAAACATAGGCCCGGAATGGGAGCTACAACATGAAAGAGGGTAGGTCAAGGCTTCAAAAATGTTAATAGGCGGGTTTCGATGAGTTCTAGAATTTAGACTTTTCCATTTGTTTTCATTTATCTTTTATTTGTTAATTTTTTTTCGCTCAAAAACCGCTGGGCTGCCCAGTTGAATCTTGTCGAGGCGCTATGAAATCAGCCCTATTTGGCGATAGAGTTCAGAATCAATGACGGGACGTGCGCAAGCGAGTGCGTCCGTGCGTTGATCTATGATCGACAGCGGGGCAGAAAGAGGCTGGTACCCTGATAAACAGCCTCCCGGTAAGCTCAATGGATAGAGCGCTGGACTGTTGTGCGGGAGGTCGAGGGTTCGAGCCCCGGCCGGACCAACACTCAGGGTCTTAAAATAATTGAGAAGAATTTGCTGCCTTTCTATAACATCAAGAAATGGTTAGATATTCTAGTCTTCTCGGATAGGGACGAATAAATGGAGGTCCCGTCTCCTGCAGGGTTGGGGTAGGAGACGTTAATTTCCCACACACGAGATTACTGTGTGATGGATGTCCTCCCCTGGGGTGGGATGGGTGGGAGGGTGGACTAGCACGAATGGTTCCTATGTTCCTTTCTAGTCCTTCCCCACTGCAAAACTTAATGCAGTGAAAATGGACTAAATTAAATTAAATTAAATTAAATTAACTAAATTAAATTAAATTAAATTAAATTGGCTAAATGCCTACAGTTAACTCTGGGAAACAGCACAACCTACAGATTATTCACTAATCTGTACCTACAGATTAGTGAATAATCTGTAGGTTGCGTGCGCAATGTATGATTTCCGATGGAGCAATGTTAAGTTCACGGACAGCGAAGTAAGAATGGCTTCTAGA